TGAGCCGAAAGCAGGGGTGGAAGAAGAGGAGATGTTGGGTTTTGCTGAGGATCTGGACAGGAAGACTGGCGTTCGTCCTGGTTGAAACCTCACCTGAGGGCAGACACTTGTCTCTCTGAGCACCAATCCTCTCTGCCTGTAATAATAACACAGCTCTCATCCACCCAGAATTATGGAGTGATTGCAAGCAAATGGCTTAGAAGAACACTCAAAAGACCATTTGTGCATGCCAAGTGTTCTTCTGGGAAAGCATGGTGGCATCCTTCAGAAGGTGGCCTGGGCCAGGCTCTCATGGCAAGGTGTGTTATCCTTGCTGCACAAATGGGCGCTAATTCGGTGTACAGCACTCTGTATGCCTTTCCTCGCTTGCTCCTTTGCAGTCATTTGTATTCCCCTGGCCTTGATGTACGAAGAGACAGAACCCATTAGCTGGCTTCCTTCTTCTCTTCGCATGAGCCCTGCTCCCCAGGTTTTCTGCTTGTCTCTCCCTCCCCCAGCCTTCAAATAACATTTCTGATAGATCCACAGCCTTGTACGTCTCCTCTCTGCTGCGCGGCTCTGCCATGCCTTCAGTATTTAAACGATGCAAAGATCCTAATGAAACCTGCCAGAAGACCTCTAAATGATGGCAAAGCACAATGCCCTCCCCTTGATAGGTGTGGGTGGATCTGGCTAATTTGAATAGATTTAAATATCATGGGCTAGTGATATTTACATAAGAACTTATTGCTTCTCTTCGCCAACCCCTCCCCTTCTCAAAACCACAGTCCTACAATCTTTCCTGCAGAGCAAGAGAGAGAGAGAGAGAAGGAGGGAAAGAGAGAGAAAAAGAGAGAGCAGAATTATATTAGAGTTCAAACCCAAGTCTGTCTGGATCCCTTCTATACTCAGGTTTCCTCCATGGCTGGGGAGGGGGAGAGGTTTGGAAGCTGGACCCCCGCCTCACCTCCCAAGAGCTTAGACATCATTCCTTTGTCATTTGACAGAGAAAATAGTAACCTTGAACAGTGGCCTCCCTAGGGTTGGTGTCACACCCCCCCCATTGATCTCCCCCCATTTCACACCATACAGAATCCTTAGGTAATGCTTTTTTTTTTTTTTTTTTTGCACTAATGGTACTGAGAAATCATAATTCCCATATACCGCTGAATATAATGCTAATAGTTGTGACATGAAGAACTAGCCAAATTGAAATCATACCTTCAAATTACAATGTCTCACACATACAACCTAAATGTATTTACATATACATAGTGAAGATTTGTTTACAATGTTTTAAAGATTTTACAAATATGAATTTTGAATTTTGAAATTTTAATTTTAAAAAATGCTGGGGCTGCTCCTTTCTCTCTCCCCCCCCC